TTCTTAGGAAGAAGATCTATCATTTGTTCGAACCATTCTTGAAAGACATCAGCGTTCATGTCTTCATGGTAGTCACCAGTACGAGTTGATTCAAAAGTTAATAAACCACCTTCAACAAAACCGTCTGAACTGCCAATGTGTACTATTATCAGCCTGCGTCCCTTTCCTGATGGTGGGTTTAAACCAGTAGACAAGTTATTTACAAAAGCGTGCCTTTGACTTGTAACAGTTTCATCCTGCCAAAATTTATTTGGTGTATGACCCTCGTTGATCCATGTTTCATCAAGATAAAATATTTTTCTTTTTTGGTTTCTCATTTCCTTTATGGTTCTTAGAAAATGTCTTCTCCATATGACAATATCGCTTCTTTCTAATAAAATAGACTTTCTGGGATTCTTTTTCCAGCGGAAGCCTATTTCTTTTAAAAGTTTCCATAACGTACTTCGACTCATTTCTGGGTAATCCTTATCATCTCGAACTGAGACAAGAACTTTATCCAATGTTGGAAATTCTTGTCTAAAGAAGAATTCATGCACTTTCCGTCGAAGTCCTTCTTTAAAATGATATTCTATTTGAAATTTTGGTTTCCCTGGAGCATTACGTGGCATTTGAAAACTACCACATTTCTCTTCTTTAATAACTCTGTAAATCGTAGATTTCCCAACACCAAGTGTACTGCTAACTAACTCAACGGTCTCATCTACACTTTCACATAAACGTTTGTCTGTAAATGATTTAAAACAATTAAATATTAATGTTTTTTCATTAACTGTTAAAGGACCAATTTTCGGCGTTTACACGGTACTTCCAAATTTTCCATAACACTAGTATACACAATAAACTACACCTTGCAACTGAAGTACCTACTTTTAGTGAACTGTTAAGAATTTTGAATACGCCACTTGGACCTTCCTACAAAATGGAAAAACCCACTATCACATTTTCTGTGGAATAAGTTTAGAAGGTAATTATCTAGTCAATTACTGTCGTAGATTCCTGGAATTAAAGAATTAAATGTTTGATTGTTGAAACCCTTACTTCGTGGAATGCACTCATTTCAGATAAAATAAAACGTTTTATTTTATCTAAAGAATTAAACTTTATTTTGCAAATAGGTAGGTACTTATTAAACTTTTATTGGTTATATATAACCAATAAAATAAACATCTTACATTTCTTTCAAATTCATTAGTACCTGTTAACCTCCATCACTCCGACACTGGCAACCTTATTTAGGGATTAGTAACCCTCACAACTATTGTATTCTATTCTGCTCCAACCTTTATACCTGGTGGTCATACTCAATTTAAAATTGTTTTCCTATATACTTCTGTAAACTTGTTGACAAATATCTGTTTTTCATTGAGTCACCCGTATCAACAGTTTAGGGATTTGCATACATAATTTATTGTTTTATTACTCTCTCATACATAAAAATACACTATAAATGTGTCTAGCATCATTAATAGAGCAAGTTCAATAGTTTAAATATTTAGCCTCAGGGATAAATAAATTAAATAACTTTTAAACTATTTGACCGATCGGAGGGAAATTTCGCACAAATTTAAAAGACGGTAATTCCTCGATGTTCAAATGTATTAATAACATTTTATTTTGTTAATAAAAAAGTTCATAAAATTTACAAATAATGCAAAAAACTTCTTTTTCTGCAAATATCTCTGTAAATTATTTATCAATTTTAATTTAAAAAACGGGAAAATAAAGATATTCGTGATATAAAAAAAATGATATAAATATTGTTTATGTAAAATATAAGAGAAAAAACTTATAGACAAAAAATCAAATTGTGACCATAAATTATTGTTTAAAAAAAACTCAAGGTAAAAAGACGAGTACTTTTTCATCTATTCGTCATCTAGTAACCCCCACCTATGTCTTAAAAGCTTCAGATATCTGCGAAAAATTTTGCCGTGAAGTCGATGATTTTTGCATAACCAGACTGGACTATTTATTCTGAAAAATTCATATTGTACCGAATATATGATGAGACTGTGGCATGCTTATAATAATAATGTTCGTTCGTTAAAATGTTTCTTTTTTTGTAACCATTGTACTGTTTGGACGCCTTGGTAAAGAAAGGAACAGCCGTTAAAAAATATCTTTAACTTGAACTTTTTTATCCCAGCTCCTTAACAATATGTGAGAACGGGAAGAATCAGGTACAATACCTTTCTTTTATTCATATTTAGCTTATTGTATTTCATTGAGGGAACAACAAGGGAAACCCCGTCCTGGTCATACAACATCCACTAAAGGTAAGAAATCGTGTGTGAACAAGCATCTAATAAAACCGAAACTTTCAAGCAACGTTTATATACGATTATACCGTGACGTATAATTATACATTATGCTCAACGTAACTATTTGAGAGATATATGCACTTAAATAATAGTTCAGGAGGTAGTTAAAAATGACGGTTACTTTCTAATCTAAGGCATATTTCAAAAATTGAATTCGTCAAAAAATAATTACTAAGAAAAATTGTACTTTATCATTACTACAAAGTTTTTAATAAAAGTTAATAAACAATTATTCTTTGTAAACACAAAAATGTGTCTTACGCATCAACTGAAATATTTTTTCTGAGAATAACATTGAAATATTTTAATAAAAACCTATTATTTTTATTTGTTAGAATCGTAATGGTAATGGCATATTAATTGTCAATTAATTATTACTGTATAAATAGTATTTAGAAAGTTACTTTTCTTAAAGCAAGCTATTCATGTACGCAATTTGTTTTGTTAATTTTTTTAATTACATATATGTAAATTTCCTTGGGTTATCGGACTGTATTTAATACATGAACATAAATAAGCAATAATAGACCACATTCTACCAAGCATTCAGTGGAAAATAACTATTCTTTCGATTTCTTCGAAATATACAGATATGCGTTTCACTATTAATTTTTCTTTAATTCAAAAACGAATGTCCTTAAAAAAAATTTGTTGACACACAATTTGGTTTTAGAAATGGTATGGACATAAGATATGCTTTGTTCGTCTTGAATGTGCTGGTCCAGAGATGCATGGACATTGATTTATGTTTTGTAGATTTTGAAAAGGCATTTGATAAGGTTCAACATAAAAAGCTTGTAGATATATTAAAAAGTAAAAATATTGACAGTCGTGATATGATAATTGTATCTAACCTATATTGGAATCAAACTGCTAAGGTAAGAGTTGACAAACAGAACACCCAAGATATCAAAATACAGAGAGGAGTCCGCCAGGGTTGCTTTCACTACTAATCTTCAAAATCTACAGTGAAGCAGTATTTAAAGAATATATCATATCTCAGATTCAATAGAAGGTATATCTATCAATCAAGAGAAGTTTCGAATAACTTGCGTTTTGTAGACGATACAGTAATAATGACGAATAACAACAATCATTAACAGAACATAATGCAACGCCGTAAGGAATGCTGTCATGAATACGGACTAAGGATGAATTTGAAAAAACTAAATGCATGATGATGACAAATCAGCAGATGCAAACATCCAATTGATTGTTGAAGATTATGTAATTGAGAGTGCGGATACATAAAAATACTTAGGAACATGGATAGCATCAAATGTAGACCAAACCAAAGAAATTAAGACACTTGAATTGAAATAGCCCGTGAATCATTCGTTAAACTTAAAAAGTTTCTTTATTGTCGGGATATAAGGTTAGGATTACGTCTAGAGATGTTTTAGTGTTACGTATTTACCACTCTTCTTAATGGCTTGGAAGCATGGGCATTAAAACGAGCACATCTGAATAATTAGACCTCGTTTGAATTTTGGAGTTACAGAAGAATATCATGGACTCAAAGAATGTCAAACGCAGAAGTTATTAGAAGAATAGAAAATGAAGCTGAAACAATATTGACTATCAAAAAAAAAGAAAACTTGAGTACTTAGGACACGTGATGAGAGGCAATACTCATTGCAACTTATTATGCAATGTAAAATTCGAGGAGAGCGAAATGTGGGAAGACGAAGAATATCGTGGTTTAAGAACTTGAGGGAATGGTTTGAATGCAGCAGTGCAGATCTGTTTAGAGCGGCAGTCAACAGGATCCGCGTAGCCTTGATGATTTCCAACCTTCGATAAAACATGGAACTTAAAGAATAAGATTAATTTTTCTAGCACTCTGGGAAGCACACTAGGTTAAGCTGGATTTATCCTGTACTCTTACCAAAGGACACAAAATATTTGTACAAGTAAATAAGTAAGTTACTTGAGACGAACATCGGACTGGGGTACATACCAGAGTATGGAGGTCAACGGGGGTAGCATTCATACCAAAACCTGGCAAAACGGCACAAGTATCTGCAAAGTACCTTAAACCAATAAGCCTAATGTCTTGCGTACTGAAATTATTAGAAAATCTACAGATATTAGGGACGGAATACTGGTTGAAAGACTGATACAGCAAGACCAATATGCGTACAGTTCAGGAATATCGACATAAATAACACTACATCATCTAGTGCATAATGTGGAGTTCGTTCTGGAAAACAAGGAGGTGATGCTGAAACCTTTCTCAATGTGGAGGAAGTGTTCAGCAATACTTCATTTGAAGTAATCATGAAAGCCATTCGTCTAAAAGCAACAGGTGAAGTAAGCTACAGGTGGATAGAATGCATGCTTAAGAGTCGCATGATACACTTAACACTGCTGGGTGAGACCATATCAGTACAGGTTTCAGGCAGATGCCCTGTACTATCACATCTACTGTGTAAACTGGTTATAGATGGATTGATTGGAGCACTTAATAAAAATGATAGATTTGATTTGATTTAAATTGTATAATTGTATAATAATAACAATAGTGGCAAACTTCAGAAATTATTACGGACACAAAGTAATAACTAATAGATAATACTATCACTGAACTTCTAGTGCTATCCATTATTTTTCTTGTTCATTTTGTCTCTTGTATACTTATCTAATATTTTTTTATTCGTCATTATTTTTTTCTTTCAGGAAATGTCAGCTACCTTAAAGAATACGAAACCAAAAGACAACGGGAAAATTTGACTACCATGGTGGCCCTGGAAGGAATGTATAGATTGTATCATACAGAATTTACCCCGATAGTCCTTCTCAGAAGTCTTGGTGTACAAGCTGTTGATGTTTTAAGTCCTTTAAAGGTAAGCAAATACAAGAAATTGTTTGAATATTATGTTGTTTTTTTTTTTAAATAACACTTTATATAATTTCAAACAATGTCATGCAATATACGAGCCCCTTCCCATGTCAGTTGGCCCACCTATGGAATTTGCAGTTTAAGTCGATTACCATAAACAAATTATACTCTGGATGTTTTTATAAGTTCCCATATTAATTAATATGACATTTTTATTAATATTTATTAAAAACATTTCCTCTTCTTCTGGTTCCTATCCGTTTCGTATGTTGGAAATCATATTGGCAATCATAACCTTGCTCGCTGCGGCTCGAAACAGCTCCGTTGAGGTTTTCTTAAACCACGTTCTTAAATTCCGCAGCCATGATATTCTTCTTCTACCGGGTCCTCGCTTACCTTTGACTTTACCTTGCAATATAGACTGCAGGGACTAGCAGGGAGTAACGGTGCTCATTTCTCATAACGTGTCCAGATATTGCAATTTTATGCGTTTGATTGTAAACACAATCTCTAGTTCCTTCTTCATTTTTCCTAGAACTTCCTTGTTCGTGATCCTTGCTGTCCATGATATTCTCAGCATTCTTCTATAAAGCCACATCTCAAATGCTTCAAGTTTTTTAATAGTAGTGTCTGTAAGCGTCCATGCCTCCGCCCCGTACAACAACACAGAGGAAACATAGTATCTCAAATGTCTCATTTTTGTATCAAGGGATATGTTGTGACTTTTGAAGATGGCGCTCATTTTGTTAAAGACCGTTTTTGCCTTTCCCATGCGGCACTTTATTTCCTGTAAATTGCTCCACTGTTCGTTAATAATAGTTCCATTTATCCAAACATTAATAATAGTTCCAAACATTACCCTTATGGTTTTTGATTTATTTTCAACAATAAAAAAAAATTACTAAACCCTGGCTATGCATTCACTTAAGTCAACATACGTTATTTTTTCGTAATTGCCTTAAATCTAGACGTAGCTATGGAAAAATGATACCAAAATAATAATATTGTCAGTTAATGTCAAATGTATTTTGTAGTATTGTAAAGCTTTTTGCCGTGTGTGGATTGTACAATGGATCGAGGTGAAGTTATTGATGAGAAAATTGGTTCAATCATTATTAGATTTTTTAAATATGGAAAGTCCAATTCGGAAATCGCGAGTATGTTGTAATTGTCACGCTATAGTGTAAAAAATATAGTCAGCAGATAAAAAATTACAGGTTCGGTCGTCACAAAACCTAGAAATGTACGAAAAAGTAAAATAACCGAAGCAGATCGAAGGGCATTAAGACGCATTATAGAGAAAAATCGACAACAAATTATATGGAGTTAAGCGTTTTATGGAGTAACGTTATTGGAAGACATGTTTCTAGATCAACCGAGAGGCCCACAAATTAGGATTTGGTGCTTACAAAGTATGTTTTATAGTTGAAAAATTAGTACGAATTGTTTTTAATAAATTTCATTTTATTTTAAGCTAAAGAGAAGCCACTTTTAACATTACAACAAAATGAAGCTTTCCGTCATGACTGTCTGATTAGAAAAGTTAAATTTCCTACATCTGGGGCACCATGTCGTCTGAAGGTGTGGGAAAGTTACATTTTATCGATGGGATTGTAAACACGGACAAATATTTGAATGTTTTAGAAGAATCTCTTTTTCTTCACGGAAGATTTTGTCTTCCAACAGGACGGCGCAGGTTGTCATACCTCAAAAAGAGTTTAAAATGGATTGAAGACCATGGCACAGAATAATAAACAATCAGAATGCCCACTCTTCATGGAAAATTAAGTACGCACATCTCGTTGTGTTTGTGGTGTGCAACCAGTGTTGTTTATGTGGTGTGCATAGAAAAATTAACCCGGTTTTGGTAGCGCGAAATGAAAAAAGCCTCGAGAAAACATCCTGCCAGATCTGTCAACGAATTGAAGGAAAAATTGCAAGAAATATGGGATTGGTTTATATTAGAATTTTGTCAGAACTCGATAAAAACTAAGAATTGTGGATGTCATTAATTTTTTTTTTTTTTTTTTTGGTAATATTACATATTCTATGCGTATTTTTTTAATTTATTATTTTTCTGTTTAATCAATAGTTTTCATTACGTTTTAAAATATTTTCTATAATTAGGAAATCCAAAAATGTTGCTGCATTAAAATTTTTAACGCTGCGGTTTTATTTTTGTTCTCTCAAATTTCATTTTCTTATCAATCTAACGTTGGGCCAACTGATATGGGAAGGGATTCGTAGACGTTGTCCATCAATAATTAGAAAACATCCTTATAAGTCGATGTACAGAGTTGTGTAATTCGTCATTTATTACAGTTCTAGCTTTCAGAATTCAGTTAGCATTTTGTTTACTTATTTAAGTGCCATATAATTTTCAATTAGTTCTTATTTTTCTTCTTCGATTATAAGACTTTTTAGCTATTTTTCCTTTTCCTTATTCCTACATAATTCATTTACTTGGATGTTCCAGCTTTTCCTGGACCTTTTTTTCTCTTCCTTCCTTCCCCATTGCTTATTTCTAATTTTACCGGGACTAGAATACTTTGTGATAAAATTTTCATAATCCACTTTCCACTGTTTATGTCTTGTTTTTTCTTATCCATATGTTTTTTTGTCGGTTTGGATCTTTCATTCATTCAATCCTTTGTATATTTTAAATTCCGCTAAGTCATTAGGTAGAATATATTATGGTTCGCCGGGAGTTGATTTAGGTACAACCAGGATCTATATGTATTTATTTCTGCAGCTATGAAACGTTTTAAATTATTGTTAGCATCAATATCGTATTATTTACTCGACATTTTTATTGATATTATGACTCCATCCTGCTTTATTTATCAAAGAATGTATAGAACATAGCTAGATCATACCGTTTTTCACTTTTTAGTAACATCTAGTAAAGTTTTCAGTCTTATTGAACATTTTTTTTTAATTTCTTTTCTTTTTAAAACTTTATCGCCAGCTGTAGCAATTTTTGTTAGTTTTTATCAAAAATAACCGTGATAGGTACTACTTATAAGTAAATTTCTGTTTGTTTTTCTGTAATATAGGTATTTATCAGGTGCTAAAAGTTTGATCACCATCTTGTTTTATTTTTTCAGAAAATGATCGTTAAGCATGCTTCCTCATAAAAAAATGTAAGTAACCGATTATATTTATAGCTGTAATAAAAATATGAACATCATTGTAGTAATTTATATAGAGAGTGTGACTACCAATCAAGCTGCCGGTTTCAATGTTAATGGATTTAATCAAATGACCGCGTTCTACCCAAGATTTTTTAAATTGCAGTTACATGCCAAATCAACCTTCTTTAAAATTAAAAATTATTAGGAAAAATTAATACTGTTGTTTTTTCTGGATAGCATAAGCTCTAGATATGAACCCAGTTAAACCCCTTTAAGGGTAACCCTTCATTCGGCAACGAAAGATAAAGAAAAAAAATTATAACTAATTTAAAATAACGTAGGTAAAGTAATAAAGGTGTAAAATAAATCTGTTTTTTTTTATTTTATGTTATGATGGTTATATAATAGTAGGAAAAAAATAGTACTTAATAAACTATCAGTAGGAACCGATCACAGACCAGACCAGTGAGAGCCAGGGTAATGACAAACCTACAAAAATAAAGAGCAAAGATGATAAGCAGTTGCGTAGTTGCATAGTTTGAAATCAACCAACGTAGCCAGACATATATCAGATATAGCCAAAACTTTTTTTTAAACCTATTCTCTATCCTTCCATTGTTGGATATAGGTCTCCCCCAGTTCTCTCCATCTTTCTCTATCTTAAGCTGTTCTCTGCCATGTGGGACCTCCTTGTTTCCTGATGTCATCTTTCCACCTCATCTGTGGTCTGCCTCTTGATCTCTTTGCATTGTATGGACGCCACTTTCCGATGGCATTGTTCCATCGTCCGTCTTGGAGACGTTCATTGTATCCAGCCCATTTCCATTTCAGTTTTGCTGCTTGTTCTATCGCGTCTACTGTCTTGGTTCTGGTCCTGATCCACTGGTTACGTTTTCTATCTTTAAGTGATATACCCAACATTTGTCTCTCCATCGCTCTTTGTGCCTTCCTTATCCTATTCAAATTGTATAGGTCTGTGTAATATCTTTCTGTGATTTTTACTATTGCTCCTAGATCTCTTTCTTCATTGTTCTCAGCTTTAAGCATGATTAGTTTTCTTTTTCCTATATTTGTCTTCATTGTTTTTAAACTTTTGTTCTTCTCTATGATTTTCTTAATGCGATCTTCTTGGTATTTCCTTAAATCTTCCTTTATCTGTTTTCTTATGGTTTTGTTCAGTTCGGTAAACTCCACTGTATTTCTTTTGTTATCATTCAGGAGTTGTCGTGTTTTTTAGCATATCTTGTGATTTAGCGCTAATTTTTTGTTGTTTTCGCTTTTGTTTATTAGCAATCTTCAGGCCTGCTTCTAGTAGTTCTGTTGTTATTTTATCGTTTAATTCGTCTAGTTGCAAACCCTTTTGCCAAAACGTTACAGAGTAATAATCCCAAACCTCTAAGTGTCGACGATCAGAATAAATTAATAACAGACTTGATTAAAACGCACAACTCAATGTTGCAAGAAAAATGAAACTAAAAGCGAAGAGATTAGCAAAGATACAAAAGCTCTAATGGATATACGAAACCTAAGCAAGAAAGAAAAGGGAAACAAAGACATGGGCGGATCCAAGGATCCTCCCTCTCAAACCAAGTATTTCATTTTTTTTTAACTTAGCTCAAATTGAATTGCGTAGGCTTGACTACAGATGGCTGCTTTATAATGATTTCTGAAAGTGTTGGTGCAATAATTACCTTCCAAAATGAAGATGTTAATGCAGTTTACTCGTCATGCTTAAATCATCTTTCAATTGATAAATCTTTATCAGTTTAATCTCTGAGATCTTCGTCAAAATATAGTTTATATTCAACTAAAAGTATACAAAAATATGCCATTTTGCAATATAACCGGGTCTTATGTGCTATATAATTACTATTTTGTTAACAAACATCATCACTTCATTGAAATTTCATTCTCATAGCATTATTTAAAGATTATTATATCACCATTTTTATAATAACTTCCATCATGACAGTATGTGATTTTCAATAAATAAGTCACGTAAAAGTTTCACATGTTTTTACTTTGTTTGAAAAAATTACAGCCATCTTTAAATTCTAATATTTAATCAAAATACCTACATAGTTAATTATTATTACCCAACGATGCATTGTATTGTGCGACCAAAAGAGAAAATTTATATTTGAGATCGCTACGTAACTTTCAATGAAACAAAGCAATGCCAAAAGAAGGTCAATAAATAAATATTTTGTATATTTACTTTAGATAGTAAACTGGTACAAAAATTTACATTTAATTCCTTTTTTATGGCATTGTTTTGTGAGGAGGTCATATACCTTACAGCCTTACACTATGTTGATAAATCGTATTGTGATTCACTACAAAAACGTATAAAACACCTGTACATATAGCTAATGTGTACTAGGTAAAATGCAGATATTTTCCTGTAAATTTGTGTCAATCAATACATAACGTCACCCTGGGAAATTCCAGATAATTCTTAAATCCCGTACCGTGACACAATGCATCTTCCCAGAAGCGGTCAATAATAGTGTTGTGACGTAGAAGGTCACGCCAATGTACTTCGAAATAGGCCAGTCACTTTATAAATATTTTCCTCAAAAACATAGTAACGGTTTCTTTAATAAGCTTCGCCATTTATATCAATGAATCTTTATTTTGGTATCAGTTTCTCAACTATTAAATTAATATATTTAAAATATGGTAATTTGTAAAAGCTGCTTTTATACCAGATTGGATATTTCATGTCAGTCACAAACAAACAACGGAGTAATGAAAATATTTGGTCTTTTCTATAATCATTTTTAGTCCATATTTTTCACAGAAACTGTTTGTTTTGTTTAGCAATAATTGGAGTTGTTCAGCAGAGCTTGCCATAATCACGGTTTCATCTGCATATCATATGTTGTTAATAGATCTTCCGTTAATTATTATTCCTTCACTTTGAGATAGTAAGGCTTCTTTAAAAATGGCTTCACTATATACATTAAATAGTAATGGGGACATAATGCATCCCTGCCTAACTCCTCTCCTGATTTCAATTTCTGGACTGGGTTCGTTATCTATTACGATTTGTGCTCTTTGATTCCAGTAGAGGTTTGTTATTATTCGTAAGTCTCTATGATCTATGTTTTTTGTCTTTAGAATTTGGACTAATTTTACAGAAAAGTATGAATTATATCAATTACGAAAAGTATAACAGAGACAATGGAAACAAAAAGTAGAATAAAATGTGCTTATCTGTAATTAACGATGTTATTCATGTAACTGTCAAAATTTAAACGATAAAAGGAAAACGAAGGTATAAGATAAATCTTTTTATTAATACAAAAAGTTATTAGAAAAGTTAAAATATCAGCTTTACTAAGTTTGAATATGCGTGATCCTACAGTTTTTATGTCTGAAGATTGCAATGTGATTACACCAATACAGTTCAAGAATATCATTTTCCTCTAGTGCTACAACCCTCTGGCATAGAGCTCGCAAATGAATGATAGTGAAAAATTTTTCTATCACAAGAAAAAATTCTCCGATCTATTTTGAACCAGATATTTCAATGGATATTCAACCTGAATTTTCTAATATGTTGTTCGTTAGTATTCGTTAGACAGTCTTCTTTCTATCAGTTCTTTTGTATAGTTGTGTCTGTTGTTTTTCCTAAACGTTTTAAAGTAGCCTTCTCCATTGAGGTGTTTATTTCATCATATGTTTATTTAAAAGTTTTACACGTGAATTCTGGCTTTTGAGCCATCCTTCTTTCAAGTAAGTGTCTTGTTAAATCCTCATGTAATCGATATAATCTGAGTGAATTTCCATTTAATGTTGTTCCCATTGTATCTCTTAATTTTTGTGTTTGTTTATCATTATTCTGACTGTAACACACGTGTAGTTCTTAGTATCATTAGGAATTTCTCTACAGTCGTCCCTATCCATCCCCTTCCTCCGCCAAGCACGTATTCCCACATTTCTCATTTTTGTATTTGTAATTTCTAAATATATGTTCCAAGTGAATATGAATCTTACATTACAAACAGAAAAATCAAAGAAACTATTTATTTTAATAAACTAAACAAATTGCGTTACAAATTCTTCAATAGAATGTTATCCTAGTTTTGTTGTCGAAACTGAATATGATTTATTGTGCGATATTTAAGGCTTATTTAAGGCTAATTACTTATCCATCCGATATTATTGAGTTAATATTATATAATTAAACGAACTATCGTCAAATAAAGTAGTCTCTGCAATGGTAAGTTGTAGGAGAAGAATTAGTTTGTCGTGGATTTCATAATGATAATTTCATAATGATAGGTAATTGTTTTAATCCTACATTCACATGAATTTACAGGTATACGATATTAAGCGTTAAAAAAGTACTAAGGGCAGATACAAAAGACATTGTTCTAAATATCTTCATGGTATTTCATGAAACATTTCAAAATGTCCTACATTGTGACAAAATAACAATGAATATCTATGACTGGCCTAATTTGAACCGTCTTGAATCATGGATGGCAGTATGCTTTTACCACATTTTTAAATTTATAAAATGTACTAAAAAAACATATATTTTACATTCAGTTAGACGTATTTTCTACCAAATTGTATTACTACGTAATTTAGTAAACTAAGTTAAAACATGTTCCCCTTTAGTGCCGTTTTGATGCAGATCTACTTTTTCGCGGGCCGCGTAGCAATACACTTTCTGACTGTGACGTCAAAATGACCCTGATATATAAACCCGACGCGCCCAAAAACGCGTCATTTCAAGTTGTTCGATGACAGTTGGTGTGTGAAAAGTGCTGTGAGACGCCATTTTGAAAAAATAATTTTGCTCGACGCTGGAAGTTGGAAGACCAAATATTTCGTCCTACGAATTACTATATTCAGGTGTGTTTTTATATAAAATTGCAATCAATTTAATTTTTTGAAGAGATTTTATCAAAATGGGTGTGGTAACTAAAGCCCATATTCACGAGTATAATATGTTCAAGAACAAAGATTTATCCGATTGGATAGCTCTTATTAAAGTAAAGAAGTTAAATTTTAAATGCCAAAGACGAAAAAATCTCTTCATCGAAGCTGTTTTAAACAAAGCACTTACGTCAGCTGAATCCGAACTACGTCAGAAACAGCAAGAAAGGAGGCAAAGGTGGCAAAACTTAAAATCTGAGTTGGGTTTAAATCAAACTGAAAGCTGTGATAGATCCTGGCCGATGCAGTCCTGCGAGGAATTGGAAAAAGATATTGATAGCTTTTTATCTAAGTTAAAAGTAGTAAATTCTCATATTCAGCGATAAATTTTTAAACGTTTTTATTTTGTATTTATTTGCTCAAGACTTATTGTGAATTTTGTAACTGTGATATTATGTATAATTTTTTTATTACAGTCACCTTCTGGGCGACAACCCCAACACCGAGCCAAGAAAGTCTTCTGATTGGTTTGTAAATTGTATCAATTTTTATTTAAAATATTATATCTTGTATATAACGTGATATTAGTTATAATAAAAATCAAAATTTAAAAGAAATGTTTGGATTCCATTGCTTATTTTCCTTCCTGTACTAATTTATTTTACCTTTACATGTAATAAGGCCAGATGGAGCGGAAAACTTCGAAGGATATAAGCGGGATTCTAAACGTTAGTAAACCTGGGTAACTGCTGCATTTGTAAGAGGAAAGTAATAGCGAGGTGCATTCTTTTGGTGAGGTAGGAAAGCTTCAGTAACTGGTAACAACTAATGTAAGTACTCATTATTTCGAATTTGTGATCTTCAGTGTGGTCCCTACATTGCAATAACTACCATACATTATTATGGATACACCATATTAACAACAAATAGTTATTGGAATGAGTGATAAGTTTTGTGTAAGGATTTATTTTGAGCATAACTTATTCTTGATTTATAGGCATATGTCTTAACTGCGCCAAACTATTGCGATGTAGTTTCCCAAATAAGAATGTTTCCAAGATTAGTAAGGTAATGCACGACTAGACTTTACATTTAGAGAAATTAAGTTAATGATTCTGAATTATAAAAGTATATTTTGAATTCGTAATTTGGTGTACACAATGATGGAATACTTTGTATGCTTAGGTTTTACTATTGTTGTGGATATGTTGTCATTGTAAGTATGGGACTAAACACTTGCCAGTTTGGAATAATATGTACTAATGATAACATTTGCTATTATGTTTAAAAGCATTCAATTTAGGGGTAAATCTGAGGTTCTTATAACCATCATGAAACATGTGTTTCATATTTACCTCATTAGTTTTTAAACAAATTGCATTTGTTACTTATCATTTCGAAGCAAGACTTTATGTTTTGCTTTTCGTTTCATTATTTATATACGAGAAATGATTTTCTTTAGGTTGGCAATGAAGCTTGGGTGTCTTATCTACCTGAGTTGCCAACATGACTTACCAGTCCTGAATCTATGCCAGACTTGACGAAAACTGCCAGAAGGATTCCAATATGTAAAACGGATGATACTTTAGTCTTACCTTGCCTGCCATATAAGAAAAAAATGGCGTTAGATTACTTACTATTATTTTCTGAGAGTTCTACTGAATACTTAAAAACTGAAGTGCTTAAATCTTATCCATTTATACCATAATATATACCACTTAGTACTATAGCTCCCGTGAAGATAGTATGGAGGACTTATCGCAGGTAATAACCATGAGACATTTTCTAAAAGAATTGGCTATTAAAAGTTAAATAACTACAATTTTATACTTTAAAAATGATCTAAACAGTAACTCATTTTTAGTTTGTGGAAGGCCTGCACAAGCTAGAAATTGTTACTCATCTTTTATACTGTTAAAAAACCTAAAAAAAACAACTAAAAATATTGTGTTTATTTTTATTGACTCTAGAATTTTTATTGCAGCTTTCTCTTTATAAATAAACAAAAATATTCTTTCTGACCAATATTCCCATGATTTCCAATTTTGGAATAGATCTTAGTTTTTAACTTCCTAGAAGATGTCAACTGCCCTAAATTTTAAAGGTAGGTGAAGTAGATGCTGTAAAATACTTATATTAAAATACATGTACTCCTATTCTGAAACTATTTTTTGTGTATATCTTAATACAGTTTACTATTTTTATTGGGTATATGTGTTTATTTTGATGTTTCATTAATGTATTCATGATTGATTCCTATTTTACAAGTTTACTGTTCTATAGCTTTTAACTAAAAATAATTTCTTTTTTTGTTGCCCTGTAAAACACATTTTTTGTAACTTCTTAATTTCTGCTACAGTGTATTGAATTTTTGATATTTTCATTTCTATTCCAAGATTAAGGTTTAAGGGTAGACAATTTCAATTTCTAAAACTTCCCCTTAGATATGAAACATCAGGAATAAACTGCAATTGATTAATTTGTTCTCAAAATTTTCTTAGTATTTAATACTAACTGCCCAAATTGAGTAATATAAATTTGTATCCTATGGACCCATTTTTTTTTCTTCCAATATAAGCCTTATATGTACTGCTCTTAATTTATGAATCAGATTTTGGTTCACATGGTAGTTAATGTGTTTTTTAACCATTTTTTTTTTCTTTGGGAAATTAATCTCTTCATTAATGTTTCAGTCTCTAATAAATCATTTCATTAGTTAATGTTTAAATTAGAAAATGTATCAATTTATTTTATACCTTACACTCTGTTCTTGGATATACTTACTGATTGAAATCACTATTACCATGCCATAGCTGTTTTTTTTGTTCTTTTCTGTTTTCTTTTTGACTAGATACCTCAAATTTCAGATTATATTAATACTTGTTATTTTGCTGACATATTTGTTTAGTTCCACTGTAAGTTGTGTATCTCTGTTATTTCTAATTAAATTCATAGACACATTTTTTTACAGATTCATTGCATGTGGTGTCCTTTGTTCATCATTTCACTTAAGTTTCTCTAGACCTGTTTCAAAGTGGAATAAATTTCTACTCATTAAAGTATGCTGCTATTTTGTGCAGTTTCAATATTTTCGGGACATAGCTGTCAAATTGCATTGGAACCAAATTAACTTCCCGATCCAGGGAGATTTAATGGCTAATGTATGTATTTTAAAAGTATTATCTAGTGATAGTGCATGATCTTTGATTCTTCTATTGCTTATTTTATTCTAACTGAAACAATTAATAAGGAATTCATAATTTTCTGTAACAAATTAGCTCCATCAGAGGTGTATCTAAATGTGTATTGCTTTTGCAATAAATCAGTATCTTATGGATGTGTTAGCTTTATGAATACATGTTTTTACTCTTGTTTGAAAACTAATAATCTTTTCTAAAATATAAAGACAATATTAAAGAAATCTTAAATCATGCTATACTTTGGATAACCTAAAACTACTAGGAAATATATGATGAACCTCAACAAATATGTAATACCACCATTTATAATACTATCTTTTTGCTGATTCTATATTATATAAACCTATATTAGCAAATTACTACTAGTAGAAACAATTACTGTCTCTATATTATAATGAAATTAACGAAAATAAGACAGTGCTTGACTGACTGGTCATTCACTAAAATTTATATATTCTTCTTATAATTATTGTGACATATTTATCTATATTATTTATGCAATATATTGAAATTTAACAATACTCTCCTTATGGAGATAACTCTTTAGTCTACTGTGGTGTTTTGTCCGTTTTAGAACCACCCATGATTGCTGACAAGCTGTTACAAATATTTTACAGATATCTTGACCTAATTAGTATGAAAAGGTTTTTTTATTGAAGTCAAAAGAACATCCTGTTGCTTGAATGATTCAACTATTAATTTATTAGAATGGAAAAGCAGTCATACCAAAGAAGGTCCTATTGAAATTCAACATTACACATTGATCTTGACATGAGAAAAAGTATTTGTTGTGTGACAGATACCTCATATCGGAATTTATTTAAAGATTGTCATGGATCTCAATGGTTTAGGTGATCCTAGCCCCAACCAAAAGGTTTTGGGAAACATTTTTGGTATTCAAGATGTGAGTTCACTTTATTTAACTACTGTAAATATAGTTGTAGCTAATGATTTACATATATATTATTTGTTCTAATTCATATTGTCATCATCTAATTATCTCGTCTTATTTTTTCTCCATCACTTTGTTAGAATTTCTGGCTAATACACAATTCTGACTAGTTGTTCATAATTAATAATTTTTTTTCGAATAACAATATATTATGAATTGATATATTTATATAACCCAATTGCATTGTCATATACATCTGTTTTCTCCAGATATGGCACAGGCAAGTATGTTCTCCAATTGTCTGAAGTGAGGATATAATGCTATTATGTGTGTGGAAAAGTCTTAGCATGTTATTATTATTGCTTTAATACATTCATTTCTGACAAGCATGTGCTCACATGATTCGATGTAAATCACACTTTAGCAAGCTCACCTGTGATTGGCAAAAGGTAATGTTTGTTATTGAAAGATTAATGTTTTTTGCTTTTTTTTAAGTTTAAATGCTATAGTCCCTTTTTCCTGAATAATTTTTTCATTGTTCTTACCATTTTTTCTCTATTATAGGTGTGTATTATCACTAACACTTCTGTTTTTTTTTTTTCGTAAAATAAGGAAATAAGTTTTTCTTGAAAATAACTGTCTTGTGCTTGTCAATGGATCTTTATGTAAAAAGTGATCCTTAATAACCAATATACAAAACACTTTCATCATATTTATTTTGTTTAAATTGGATGCTGAAATGTTTACTTTAATATTTCTGGTACTGAACATTTGAGATTAATTTATATTTCAACTTGACCAAATAATCATCATTTTTAGAATATTCTTCAATAAATATATGATCAAGTAGAAAATAATATATTTCACATTTAATAAATGTCAAGAAAATATTTAGTTACTATAATTTGAAGATACATGCAGTAAATCTTAAAATAAGAGTTAAATAAAAATAAGATGAATTATCTTTACATTATGTTCGAAGATAAAGAAAATATCACAGAAGACCCATTTGTCAATTCTACTTGTATATTTATTGGATTAAATGTGAAGAAAAAGCTCGATGTTTTAGAATGGGTGAGATTTCATACATAGCATCGTTAATAAGTATTTTTCAGATTAGCATATAATTTTATTGTTGTTTAAAATGTTAGTGGTTAATTGCCAAAATGGAGTATTTTCCAATTTGAAGAGTACAGGAAATTTATGAGAATGCTGCCCTAATTGGCCTTCAACTGTTCAAAATAAGTTTTTCTACATGTACCTAGAGAAATCAATTCATTCAGCATAACCCATGGCTAAGATTTTGCAATGTGGCAATATCCAGTATTTTTTAGATTTTGGTGTTCACACATCTCTTTTGAGATACAGGACATACTTTCTTTTTGTGAAAAAAATTTCCACAAGTAAAGCTGGCTTGATATTAATTATCAGGAGGATGGGTGTGACATAAGATGACACATTTTGAAGGCTACAAATGTTTCTTAGTTTTTCAGAACTTTGTAAAATGTTTCATTAAATGTAACAAAGAGGCAGAAGCACATCTTTTAGCATACATGCATTCTTTAAATGAAAAATTCATTCCTGGACATATAGGAAATTTAGCAAATGGGAATTTAAAATTGTAATTCAGCAGCCGCAAAAATCAATAAAAGATGGTACTAAGATCCTATTATTCAGAAGTAGTCTTAGTCTTTTAATGAGACCAGAAGGAAATACCAAAGACATTTACCAGTCACTAATTGGAAATAGATTTGGTGAGCATTTCGATTTCTTCAAATCTAATCTTAAATATTTTAAAAAAATTTAATTGAACTTTCTCTTCCTATAATAAAAACATTTACAATTATCGATATACAAGGTTGATGTAGAAGTTTAGATGGAATCTTTTGTTTTATTCTTTTTTAGAATTCTAATGGATAATGTAATTAAAGAATGACCCAAGAAATCTATATTGAAGCATATATCTATTAATATTACTGCTATAAGAATTTTCTTAGCTTTTTAACCATGTCTTAAAATTTTCAAAATGAAGTGGATGTATCTGGTTTCCATACTTACATGCAAATCTATGTTACCATGGCATTAAAAGTGTATTAAAAATAATAGAACTCCTCAGGATTTTAAGTAAGAAGTATAAAACAATCTTGAAACATAATTGTCACATTTGTGTCTATTCAGCTAAGTATATAAGATTATAGCCAGTCTAAAACAATATGGATGCATTTGTGGCTAGCACAAGTAAGATTTTTAGGATGCCCCCATAAAGTATGTTTTTTAGTCAACTTCTGTAGATGTTCTTGAGTGCATAGGTCAGACTCAAACCAATGATGTTCAAGCAAATTTGCTGAAACACTAAGAGCCGGTAAAGCATCGAGATGTTCCAACCATTATGAATTTTTGGTTACATATTTTGTTAAAGCGAATTGACCTTTATTTTACATTTGGGATGTACTAGATCTATGCTTCCAGTGTTAAAAGCTGTATTTCTTGGAAAAGCGGTGATAGGTGAGCTATAATATATATGGCAATAGTTATGTTTTTTAGAATCCATGTGATTCATCGACAGGAAAGAAGCTTAAGGATTTTAAATTTTTTTACTGTTATTTGTTAACCATTTTTTTTTACAATGAACAAACAGTGCAACAGAATTTAAATTAAAATAGCAGTAAGAACAAAAATAAGTATGAGTGTTCAGACTCCTTCTAGATTGGACTAATATGTAAAAATATTCAAATCATTAAAAAATGACATCCAGAAAAATATTATGGAAACTTACCTACAGGTTACTTTTTAAATACTCCAAAACATAAGTTATATTTTTCAGTTATATTGTCTGATTTCAATTCTATGGATTATTATTCCTCTTCATCTGGGTGGTAGCAGTCTGTGTGGTGTACTTTGCAAGTTCATTAGTGGATACAGAAAAGATTCAGAAATGAGTAAGATTTTAAATATTGCAAACATCTATTGGTGTTTTAGAGAATTTGTTGGTAATATATTAGATGTATTATA